TTTACTTGTGACCACGCTGTGTACATATGTTGAATGAATAAAGAAAGAATTATGTTTCTCATTTTCTGGTATGAAGCAATTGCCCCCTCCCCACAGTGGATGCCCATGCACTCAGAGATTGGGTGGACTACACTGTTACTAGTACTCAAAGTAGAAACAAAAAAATGTACTCTATTAAAAAGGGCTGAAACTGTTAACCTGAAGAACCACACTTTATTGCCAAGATGCAAAGAGAAGGGAGTTAGCCAGACTGCTTCTCTGGCATAGAATAGTAAATGTGTTCATGTTCTGTCAGAGGTATTGTACTTAGCCACCTTAAAGCAGCAAGTAAGCTTTGTTGAGCTTCCTAGGACATTTCTGTTGACAGAACTTGCCAAAACCCTGGAGAAAATGGTTTGATAGAGCTGAGGAACCAGATCTTTTATTGTGCACCATGTGCAGTCACTACCATATTGTGTGTATGATTTTGGATTGGTATATGGATTACGTTTCCTCATAGCATGGTGGGCATTTCAGGTTACAGTTATTGCAAGGAATTTAAATCTCTGAATTAAAAAGAGAGAATCAATTGTATGTAAATCAACCCACTAAATTATACCCTTGACTCCCAGATAGGGTGTTAAACTAAGAAAACCTGATTTAAATTATCAAACAGTTATATTTGTATTATTATACTTAAAAAACTTGAATTAAATCATGGAAAAATAGCACTCCTGTTAAACTAAAAAATGTAAGTTAAACCAATCAAAAAATTGCCCTATTATTAAACCTAAAGAAACACATTTAATAGATGTGAAGCTGCATTTTAGATAGACTGTCACATCATAACACCTTCACAACTGAGAGGGCAAGCATGTTCAGTGATGGTATTCAAACCTGCAGATTGCAAGTCGAACAGCTAAACCACTGGAGTAGTAAGGCGGGGCCTGTCCTGTCCCCAATTGATGTTACTGCCTCAGGTTAATCAACTGGTACGTAATAGACAAAGGATGTTGCCTGGAGGTTACATAACTATTGCATAATATGCAAATTATGCTGCACCTGCAGGTTGCATAATATACAAAAGATGCTAGCACCTGGTGGTTACATAACTGTTACGTAATAGGCACCAGACACTATGACGTCAACAAAGTGGCACGAGATGGCGCCGCTGCCTTAGGGTCATAGTTCCACAAAGTGCTACCAGAGGGTGCATTGGTAAGATGAGCTTGCAGATAGTTTGCAAGCAAACCACCAGAGGGTGATGTAGATCAGTACATCTCTATTTTATAGTAAAAACAAAGTCTTAAAGTTAATGTTTTATCTGATTTACATAAAATTGTGTTTACAATTATTAGAATTATGGTTTTGCTTTATAAGTATAACATTAAATCTGCTGTTTTAACTGCTATTTTTATCAGCTTTATTGTTTTTCACTTGGATATTTAATTGTGTATGTCTTACAAAGGTGGACAGTGTTAATAAGTATAGCGTTTCTATAGGTATATGGTGTTATTATAGGCAGATAGTTCAATAGGGTGATGAACTCATTGTAGGATGTCTCAACTTATGATTACAGCATGTCTAGATTTAATTATATGCCCTAAAACATTACAAGTAAGACCATTATTGCAATGAGACAACTGTTATAACAGTTACATATGTCAGTTTTTATCTCGCACATCATCTCGCAGGTAAGTTCTCAGTGGGCATACCGCAATTGGAAATAACTGGACAACCGGGATTGTTATGTTTGTGTATCTTTGGTAACATGTAAAAGTGACCTGGAACTGGGTGTTTAGGTGAAAGGAACTTTAAAGTTTCACGACTTATGTGTTGGTTTTTCTGTAAACTACATAACTTGTCTTCAGTTATTTTGACAAATTCCGGGGTGGGGTCCAAATCAACTTTTTTATAGTAGTTTATGTCATTAAGTTGTCGATAAGCTTCGTTAATATAGTCGGATTTGTACTGAATGACAATGGCGCCGCCCTTATCAGCTTGTTTGATAATATCATCATTGTCATGTTTCAGTGAAATTAGTTTGTTTGTAATTAAGCATAAAGCTACACAATGGGCTATCTGTGCTCTGCCCACCACGGGTATCGAAACCCGGATTCTAGCGTTGTAAGTCCACAGACATACCGCCGTGTCACTGGGGAACAGCATGTTTACGGTAGGAGAGATTATTCAGTACGTTTAAGTCAGAGTTAATGGCTTGAATTACTTCATTCTCAATTGCAGTAATAAAGCTCTCTAAGTGTGGTTCTCTGTTGACTGGGGGTGACCAGGTGGATTTTTCTTTAAACTGTGTACCGATATTGTTTGCGTTAGTGGTTTTATTGTGGAAAAATTCCCGAATCTTAATCTGTGTGCAAATTCTTGAAGGTCGGAAATAACTTCGAAATTATTTATGTTCTTAGGGGTAGGAGAAAAGTTGAGACCTTTACTGAGAAGGTTGTGTTGAGTTTCAGTTTATGTTTTAGAGGACAGATTTACGACATTGGAAGTGTTTTGGGGTTTGGGTCTCTCAGACAAGGAAGTAGCTGAATTGGATGAGTCAGGAGAAGAGCTTATTTTATGAGACAACTCAACGTGCGAGTTTGTATTATTTAAGTTGTGTTCACAAGTAGCGTCAGTAGGGGCTTGTTTAAAGTTATTATTTCGTTGTGAACAGACGATAAGATTTTGGTGAAATAATCCTTTACTTTTATGTGAAAGATCATGATGTGTTTGTTCCTTGTTGTTTATCGCATGATTTTCCAAAGATTTTTTTGTTTTGTTAATAAAAACATCAAGTTTATTTTGTTCAGTAGTAGAAATTGTGTTATCGGAAGATCGGCTACTGTGGATTTGCAGAAGTCTTGTGTGAGTTTCATAAGTGCAACTGAGGTGGAATGGGGGATTTTCTTCCATTGTAAACAAAATAGTTTGACATTGGCCCCCTATGGTGACTGGTGGATTCAGATTAAGTGATTTAGGTATAGTTTGACACTGTAAATGCTGTTTCAAAACGTCAGTATGGTTAATATATCTCAGTCTCTTTTTGTTCAGTTTTCTAAGTCGTTTGAAAGTTTTGGTAGGGTTGAGATTAGAATACGATTGGGAAGTTGTAATGGAGGGAAAGTTTAGTTTGAGGAAAGTGGAAGATTTTTCTATGGACGTGAAGGTTCAGAGTCATCAGGTTTGGAACTTAGTGGAAGATTGCTAGGAATTTAGAGGATACCAGAAGGAAGGTTGTTTTCAAGGTGTGCAGAAGATTCGGTTTTTGGAGGGAGAAAAGTTTCAGAGATTGTGAAGTTTGGAAGGTCATCAGGCTCAGGGCTTACTAGAAGGTTATTAGGAATAAGAGTAAAGCCTTAACTTCTGCACGAGTAGAGAATTGAGGAGAAGGGTCAAATGTAGACTTTGGAATAGTTCCAGGGGAAGTAGTGATAGAAATGGAATTTGGAAGTATAGTAGTGTGGTG